TGCCGAGAAGAAGCAAAACTTATAATTTAGTGTAATGTTATAAAGTGCCTTTATATTTTCTTCNCATTCTATCTAGCCCTAGCGCTGACACGTGTTTTAGTGTGTATGTAACACGTTCAAACACGTGTCAGCGCTAGGGCTAGAATGAAAAGATAATTTATGTGTACTAATATTAATTTTAAAAGTTTTTACTAAAACACAGTATTCCGCCTAGTTAAAATTTTAGTTCATATATAAGAATTTAAATATTAGTGTTAAAAGTTTGATTTTAAAGCAAATTATACTTGAAATGGCAACCAGTATCTTTCTCTATAATGAGTGTTAATTTTAGGGTTTCCAACATCCTCTATTGTCCTCCTGTTCTTTTTTTTTTATCAATAATGGCCTCCAATTGAGTACAGATTTAACTGTTTAATTTTATTTTGATAACTACTAAAAAGCAGTTTATAGACAAAATTTGTTATGTCCTAATCCGGCATTCACCAGAGGTCAAGAACCACCCAGAAGACAATTTTATTTCACAGACCTTCTATTTATATGCATTTCGGGTGGGAGTTTTCACCAATACCTCTTCAATACAAGTACACAGAGCATCTGCAACAGAGTTGATTTCTCTCAATACTGATTGTTACTGTGATTGATGCAAAGTAAAGTCCAAAGTCCACACTCACCACATCTAAATCCACCAGACTTTTATCTATGGGGAGCAGCAGTGTATAGAGATCATCCCTGCATGCTGGATGACTTGAAAGCTTCAATAACAGCATTTATTCAGTCTTTCAAGTGAGAAATTGATAGCAGTGTTTAGAAACAAAATAAAAAGGATCCAAGTCAGTATTGATGTTAACGGGGATCACTTTCAACATTGTTTATAATTGTCATTCATATTTATCTCCTGTATTATATATATGAAACATGTCTGTTAATAAATATATAAGTGCACAGTGACTTTCCAAACACCCTGTACATTTTACCTATTTCATTTTCTATTAAAATTGGTTTGTTAAATAATATGGTATGTATTACCTACCTATCATAATTTATGGTATTTATTAACTTTACATTTTTTTAACGCTTAAGATTTAATCCTTCAGTGTTCTTGAGTGTTAATTCATTTCCAATCCAGTTTTGAGAAGAAATTTTCATTTTTATTTTGTTTCCCTAAGTTTTCAGAAATCTTCAAATAGTAGACATGGTTACTATTCAAGGGCAGTTATTATTTGAATAAAATTGATATTACAATATAGTAATTTGCTATAAAATAAATGATACCAGTAATTTGACAAATTATATCAGATTAAAAATCATTAAATGTTAATTAAAGTGACTCGCCCAGTAAATGATCTACCAGCTACCAGTGAATGACTACCATGATTGTTCATGGAATACTAAGTTAATGTGTTAAATTACGGTCAAAATCATGGCAATTAATGAACAAGATTAATGTATGACATTTCTTACCAGTAAATGATTGTATATGATTTCCTACTACTGGTCAATTGAATAGTAGTGCAGCCATGCAAAATAATTTCGGATTATTTTGCGTGGCTGCTATTTTCCCTTAGTTAATGAGATATAATTTGTACATATGCTTAAAGTCATATATTCCTCTTTGTTTCAAAACTTTCAGATCCAATCATCATTGAAACAGAGAAGCTATATCAAATACAATTAATGTTAAAATAGTAAAACCTGAAGAATCCATTGAAATTCCAAAAAACATTTGTTCTTATAACAAAATTCATCTTATGATAAAAAGTCTACTTTATTTATTAAATAAAAACTTTTTAGTGCTTGATTTAATCTGAAACTGCTATATCATATTTTCAATACACTTTTTTTTTTTTTTTTTTATTTAAAAAAGAAGCATTTTGTTCAATAAGGAATCTTACAAGAAATTCAATTCTTCATGTCTTTTATATAAGACAAACAAAGGCAATATAATCTACAGTAGTAGTTACAAGAAGGTTCTTCATCTTTCAGTCATGAATAATGAACAAATATAAGTTAGACAAAAAGCAAAACAAATATAAGGTTTGCACCTTCTTAATATGTCAAATGTCATAATTAATTTTGTACAGATGTAAATTATCAAAGCCTGCTTAACTACTATAAGGTTCACAATATTTTCGTTCTTAAATTACAAGTTTGACTTCACGAAATAGTGAAATCGTAACAGAATGTAGCATAAAATCATTTAATATACAATAAATTAATGTTAATTATTCAGCCAACTCATCTTAAGGAATTATAGGTTCTAAACTTAGCAAAATAATGAAATCTATCAGTTTATATTTGTTACAAAAATTTATTTACAGTTAAACTTAAAATTAAACTAAATTTCATATTACATAGTATTTATTTGATACATCATAATTAATCAAATTTTATTGACTTTAGTGGTACTGATTCCAATCAAAATATAACATTGGTTTAACATAAAGCTTTCAGACAATTGCACTGTACTTCTCAATTTACCTTTTATTATCTTTACATTAGAAAAGAATTGCTTGTTGGTGTAATTACAATCATCATGCTTAGATAAATTTTCAGAACTATATCAATGCTTTGGAAAGTATATTTCAGCTTATTATCTTTAATCTCTTTAATCTTTTGATATAAGTCTGATATTGCAATTTCCTTTTAGAAGTATTTTTAAGCTAGATTTGCATGACCTCATATTTGTTTCTAATCTGAGTTTCTTAACCTTTGTAGCTTTGTACTGTTTAGGGTGCAGATATTCTGATTGAAGCTGTAACTCATCTATATCCTTGCGATATTTAGAGATGAACTTCTTGATGATACATAACTTTGCAAAATGAAACAAAGCAATCTGGTAAGAACCAAGCAGTTGAAAAAGATTTTCATAATTTTTTACTTTTGTTAATACACTGCATTTAGAAAAGTCTAAGATTGGAATGTGTGTTTTATTCTGAATTTTTTGCTGCCAGTTAAGACAGCCTTGGCAGAATCACTAGCAAAGAGAACATTAATCACTGTAAACAGCCTTCTACTCGTCACTATAATCGGAGATCAATGACATTTTCTCTCTTGCTTTACATAATTATCAAATTTGTTTCTCTCCCTTCAATCTTGTACATAATCTTGTAATGAGTGGACATTCACAATGACAGATAAATGCGCACCTTTGTTTTATATAGTTTTGATTGTTCTACTGAAAACTTGGAGTATGTTATGCCAAAAGTTTGTTAAAATTGATGTCTTCAATTTAAGTATTTATTCAATAAACCTTGTTCTTTGTGCCTTGTGTCCTGCTTCTCTTCTGTGTTGGTAACTGTAGAATTAAGAGCAGATTTTACACCTTCCCATCTTTCATATAAAGTTGCAATTACATCTGTGTAGGCAATGAATGTCTGATAAGCTCTTCACAAGTTTCTGTTTTAGTCATGTGGAAGAAGTAAGGACGTGTCAGCAACGAAATGAAAATTTAAATAAGCAACAACTTTTCTGTAAGATTCTTCAATCATGCCTCCTATAAGATTTAGAAAGTGAATGTAAAGTTGAATCTTACTTTTACTACTTCTGTGGAAGGCCCCACCGCCATGTGGAGGTCCTGGGCTTGAGCCCATGCATAAAGATGACCCTTGAACTATTAACCATTTAATAAATGAAACTATTCTTCTTCAATGAGTAATTTTTTATAAAAATTCACAAATCTTAGCATTTTTGAATTTAATAATCATCTTTGAAGGGCTATAAATGTTTCAAAACAATAAAAAAAAAATTATCAAAAAATTCTTTATTACCATAAAATCCCATAAACTCAGAACTTATTCTTATTCTACATTTCTCTATTTTTTGTAAATAATATATTTTTGTTACATCAAAAAGTTTATATCCACAATAAAGAATTAAGTTTAAAACTATCACAATTTACAGATTTTATTTTATTTTTTTTGACATCAGAATTAGAGTTATTAAAACATTTTTATTGATTTTATATTTTACTGTACATATGTCAACTAAACGAACACACATGCGTCTCATGTAACACCTTCTAATGTTTCTCAAATTTCCTTTAACAGTTTGCTCTGTCCCATCAGTAATTCTGTTTCATACCGAAGAATTTGCAGCAGTTCGAAAACATTTGTGGTGATCTTTATCTTTTGTTTTTATATCACACCGGTTATAGCTTCTAAGAGTGCAGTATTTAACACATCCCGGTGTTTTGCGGCGTAGATTTTATATTCATTTATCAACTATTTAATTGAGAGATTAATTTAAAACTATCCTAATAAAGGAAATTTACATGCCACAATTAAAAATTTTAACAAAAATAAAAGTAATCGATTAATATGTATGTATATATATGAACGTAAACAAAAGCAAATTAGGCAAGATTGCAGATGCGACGATTTTGGAAGGCCGTATCTAGAGAAGAGTCGCATATAGAGATACGGTTCCTTTGAAATTTTTCCTCCTATGCTCTTCAGCTCTGTTAAGACCCAACAGCATCATTCATATCTGCAATTGTACCCTTATTTGAATGTAAATTTTTAACAAAAATAGGAGTAATCAATTAATATGTATGTATGTATATGAACGTAAACAAAAGCAAATTAGGCAAGATTGCAGATGCGACGATTTCGGAGGGCCGTATCTAGCGAAGAGTCGCATATAGAGGTACGGTTCCTTGACTTTTTTGCTCCTACGAGCGTGCTCTAATGTCCCAACAATGTCACCCACATCTACAATTGTACCTTTATTTCAATGTATATTGTTGATATTGATTAATTTACAAAATGTATGAAGCAAGTACATTAATAAAAATGTATCTGTATATAAAATTCGATAAAATACATTTACACACAGACGTAACTACATAATATTTGGAATGTAAACAAAGCCAAATGATGCTTAGGGATTTACAAAGCATGATGATGATATTGATTAATTTACAAAATGTAATCGACAGATACGTCGACACACGTGTATTTATATACAGAAATTTAATTTAAGAAAAGAATTTTACATCTTACTTTTCTACATGACGCTTTCCATTTATGTTTACACAAAAGAACAGCTGTAACAAACCCATCCATCCAAATCCATTTTCATAATACTCGAAGGTGGAGTTGCAGTCTTTTATATAAGACAAACAAAGGCAATATAATCTACAGTAGTAGTTACAAGAAGGTTCTTCATCTTTCAGTCATGAATAATGAACAAATATAAGTTAGACAAAAAGCAAAACAAATATAAGGTTTGCACCTTCTTAATATGTCAAATGTCATAATTAATTTTGTACAGATGTAAATTATCAAAGCCTGCTTAACTACTATAAGGTTCACAATATTTTCGTTCTTAAATTACAAGTTTGACTTCACGAAATAGTGAAATCGTAACAGAATGTAGCATAAAATCATTTAATATACAATAAATTAATGTTAATTATTCAGCCAACTCATCTTAAGGAATTATAGGTTCTAAACTTAGCAAAATAATGAAATCTATCAGTTTATATTTGTTACAAAAATTTATTTACAGTTAAACTTAAAATTAAACTAAATTTCATATTACATAGTATTTATTTGATACATCATAATTAATCAAATTTTATTGACTTTAGTGGTACTGATTCCAATCAAAATATAACATTGGTTTAACATAAAGCTTTCAGACAATTGCACTGTACTTCTCAATTTACCTTTTATTATCTTTACATTAGAAAAGAATTGCTTGTTGGTGTAATTACAATCATCATGCTTAGATAAATTTTCAGAACTATATCAATGCTTTGGAAAGTATATTTCAGCTTATTATCTTTAATCTCTTTAATCTTTTGATATAAGTCTGATATTGCAATTTCCTTTTAGAAGTATTTTTAAGCTAGATTTGCATGACCTCATATTTGTTTCTAATCTGAGTTTCTTAACCTTTGTAGCTTTGTACTGTTTAGGGTGCAGATATTCTGATTGAAGCTGTAACTCATCTATATCCTTGCGATATTTAGAGATGAACTTCTTGATGATACATAACTTTGCAAAATGAAACAAAGCAATCTGGTAAGAACCAAGCAGTTGAAAAAGATTTTCATAATTTTTTACTTTTGTTAATACACTGCATTTAGAAAAGTCTAAGATTGGAATGTGTGTTTTATTCTGAATTTTTTGCTGCCAGTTAAGACAGCCTTGGCAGAATCACTAGCAAAGAGAACATTAATCACTGTAAACAGCCTTCTACTCGTCACTATAATCGGAGATCAATGACATTTTCTCTCTTGCTTTACATAATTATCAAATTTGTTTCTCTCCCTTCAATCTTGTACATAATCTTGTAATGAGTGGACATTCACAATGACAGATAAATGCGCACCTTTGTTTTATATAGTTTTGATTGTTCTACTGAAAACTTGGAGTATGTTATGCCAAAAGTTTGTTAAAATTGATGTCTTCAATTTAAGTATTTATTCAATAAACCTTGTTCTTTGTGCCTTGTGTCCTGCTTCTCTTCTGTGTTGGTAACTGTAGAATTAAGAGCAGATTTTACACCTTCCCATCTTTCATATAAAGTTGCAATTACATCTGTGTAGGCAATGAATGTCTGATAAGCTCTTCACAAGTTTCTGTTTTAGTCATGTGGAAGAAGTAAGGACGTGTCAGCAACGAAATGAAAATTTAAATAAGCAACAACTTTTCTGTAAGATTCTTCAATCATGCCTCCTATAAGATTTAGAAAGTGAATGTAAAGTTGAATCTTACTTTTACTACTTCTGTGGAAGGCCCCACCGCCATGTGGAGGTCCTGGGCTTGAGCCCATGCATAAAGATGACCCTTGAACTATTAACCATTTAATAAATGAAACTATTCTTCTTCAATGAGTAATTTTTTATAAAAATTCACAAATCTTAGCATTTTTGAATTTAATAATCATCTTTGAAGGGCTATAAATGTTTCAAAACAATAAAAAAAAAATTATCAAAAAATTCTTTATTACCATAAAATCCCNTTTAATAAATGAAAGAGATGTTCAGAAATGGATCGCTAACATGCCGTAATCTTCATGATCTTTGGTCTTATATGTAAATTTAATGTAATGAAATTATCTCACATTAAAATATCAGATAATAATTAACTACGTCATCATATTTTACATCTGTATTAATGTAATTCGTGCCATGCTTTTATGCTTTTTGAAAAAATCATAACAATACTTTATCCCCCGCTTTACGACCGCTCGCTTTACGACATACCCTTTCAATACATTGTGAGTCATTTTGGTGAACTATAATATTGCATAGTTAAAAATTGATATTTCCATGAAAAAAAAATCACAATATATGATTTTTAAACGTATTAAAACCCACTTTACGACGGCTCTCTTGACAGTTTTCAAGGTTTGGGTACCCACGAAGGCCCAAACTTCTCGATTGGAAGGCCAAATTGTTCATAAGTCGTGCGATCCAAAAATTGTATATTCTACATATACAAAGGTCTATTTCTATTATTTATGTGTAAATGTTTAAGAACCGTATTTGTCCCGCGGGTCCTAGAGGTACCACCGGTCTATCGTATTGCAGATCTATGCCAAACAGTTTCGGTCCACGAGGCAAATCTCATACTTGGATTCACAGATTCAACGTTATATTCTACGAGTTCATTTCGGTGCTACGAGGTTGGCAAGCCCATCATTTCCCACCCCACTTAGTTATATTGTTTCATAGAGATTCGCGCTTTTACAGCATAATTATTCATTGAGAACCGTCGTAAAGCGAACCATTGAATTCTTCATAATGGGGGACGTTCACAAATTACGTAATGATGATATATATATGAGTGGGCAGATATGCCGGTAATCGTCAAGATGTGTTATAAGGAGGTGGGACGTGAGAATGATCACAGAAACATTAGGTATTGCTAGAATCCTTGGGTAACAGAATGATTCATTTTTGTTTCCGAAGTGTTGCACGTCGAACCGTAATGTTATGTCACTGCTTTGTGCGTAATTAATGAAATAACGTAACGTAACTAACGTTCGATAATCCGTGCTGTGTACTAAGTATTCTTTAATTAATACAATTAAGGAGGGGAGCCAATATAGGATACGTGTTACGTAATTTTGAGGATGGATACGTGCAACGCGTTATAGAGGTTACACCTTAAGCTATGGATGCTTCAATAAAATTATTTATTTTAATTCGATGCCATATTTTTTGTATGTTTTAATGTATATTTTCAATATTAATCGGGCAAGATTCTATTCGGGAACCATTGGCATTGCTAGTACCAATATTAAACAATTTCCATGAAGAATTACTGAGTAAATCAAAAAAATCATTGACTTCAACGTTTTATTTCCTTTATAAAAAGTAGATAAGGACATTATCTTTCTTCTACATTTAAATTATCTAATCATGAATGGCGAAACTAAGATTTTGTTACATCACTCGGGTGTAATTCGGGGTAATCTGGGAGGATTATCTCAAAAGTTTGTTTGTTAAATTAAGGCAAGCAACACTTGGGCGATCTGCCTAGGGGCAGGGCTAGGATGCCTTCCGGGAGGTGTTTCTAAGGGAAACTGGCCCTTATTTAGGCGTTACAGATTTGGAGAAAACCTGGAAAACTCCACGTGGCCAGTCCGTGGAGTTTTCCAGGCGAAGAACGAACCCACAACCGAACTCCTAGTGTTCGGGGTACACTTGGCCACTGGTGGGCTTATCTTAAAAGTACAGTCAAAACAATGTAAAATTAACCGTCCCTTATATATACTCGCCAGACAAATCTTCTAGAATGTCCTCGATACATGTAGAAGGACACTTAGAGAACAAACTCGATGATCCTTCTTCTAGAACGATTTATAGTCACGTAGTATAAGGAATTGATCACAGATCATTCATTTTTTTTATAACAAGAAATGAGTTGATCAATAGTGAAAAAATCATTAATAGTGAATTTTTTAGTATAAATTTTATTTCTAAAATCTCTGGAAAAGATCCAACACCCACATCACTCCATCAGTACGTCACAGTTAATTATATATAGCAGACTCTTCCTTATGTCACTCCCATCTATACATCTGATAGGCCTGTGAATTTTCTATTAAGTTAACTTAGAAAACGTCACAATTAAGTGTTTTTTTTTTTTTATAATTTCCGGGAACATTTACACGTGGTAAATTAAAATTCGATTAACAACGGTTCCCATAATACAATAAAACCTTTTTAAAACGGAAACCAGAAAAATATTCGTTACCTTGCAAATTCCGGTTTACACAGGTTTTACTGTAATATTTTAGGAACAAATTAGGTCATGAAATCAAGTACAGTCGATCCCCCTATAACACTGTTGATTATTCCGTTTTATATGAATTCCATGTTGTACGAGTCATTTCGATTTTACAAATACATGAACTGTTCACAGCTCGGCACACACATATTTGTAAAATCTAAGTGACTCGTACAACATGGAATTCATATAAAACGGAATAATCAACAGTGTTATAGGGGGGTCGACTGTATTGTATTTGTATTTTAACAATATATTTAAAGTACAAGGAATGTTGTTTAACTTTTAAAATACTTTGCAAATTCATGCATTATTTTGAAATTTGTTGTTCACAGTTTAACTCTATCGCCAGGTCAAAGATATCGTAAGAATATGTAATACTTTATGTGATAAATTGATATATTTATTTTCTTATCATTTAAATAGTTAACAATTCTATTCAACTGTGTTTTTTGTTTATAATTCGTTATCAATATATAAATTCATAGCAGCATCTCTAAATTGAAAGTGTATTTAAGTAGGAAGTAGGCTAATTTCTTGAAAAATTATTTACATAAAACAACTTCAGAAGTTCAATTCTGTGCTATTCGTTAAATCCTCCAACTTGAGTTTATTTTAACAATAATTGTAATTATTAACTAATATTACTAGCAATAACAGTGAATAACTTATACAATAGTGGCTTATTAGCCTCTACTTTTATTTCCTGCGAATAATTTTAACTTTATACTGAATAATACTACACATAATTATCAACAAAAATTTATTTAATTGTAGCATTATATATAGGCCTACAATTACTACAGAAATTTTTATCGATCGTAAACCGAAGGTCTGCTGTCTTTCATTTAATGAA